GCCCTTTAATACGGTTCCTCAAGTTCTGGTGATTCCCAACTATAAAATTATTTTCGTTACTGCTTTATAACTGTAATTTTGCTACTGTTAGGAATTATAATGTAAATATTTTTGGAGATAAAAGTTGGTTAAAGGGGTCATAGCCCACAGGTTGAGAAACGCTGTGTAAAAAAGGAAGATAGTAAGAGTTTTTTGAAAGATGGTTTCAACTGTGTAACAAAGTTGTTTCAACTTTGGTTGTGTGTTTCCTGTTGCCCAAAGTTGGCTGATATTTGAACAGAATTCCTTGAGACCCTGAAACTGCATTAAGTCCTTGACTAATGACCACTGTTGCCTAACCTAACATTGGACAGTATTTGGGAATAGTCGTTGAATTCATTTTTCCCTGCTCAGATTCTTTACCTCCTAGTGGTTGGTTTATTTAGTAAATCCTTATTGTACACATGACATATGCTCCACACTGTGCTGATAGGCAGTGTGGGCAAAGAGCTGTTACAACATTTAGCAGTGGTAAAGCATAGTTAATGGGTGCTATCTTGAGTTTTTTAATTATATAATAGGGACACAGGAAAGAAATATGCATCCACTACTCTACAAGGACATGGGAAGCTTAGAAGTGGGATCTTCATTCTGAGTCTGAGCAGAGACATTCAAAGATGAAGCAAGGTAGAGGCAACAGCCTGGGCAAAGTCCGCAGAGAAGCGAGACAGATTGCAAGATGTGCAGCGTGTCTCTGCAGCACCGTATGTGGAGGGATTATTGTAATTAAGTTAGGAAGGTGGGGGAGGTGAGACAGTGGGGATCACACCAGTGAAGATGGACTCTGCTCTGACAGAGTGTTTTTCCACTCCGAGGTCAGTTCACCCACAAGAGGCGTCTGTGGCAATGTCCTTTAGCATCTTGATTGTCCTGCTGTTGTGTATGGGGTGGTGGTGATGATAAACTGGCATTTTAAGCGGACAGTAACAGGCAGGTTTACCTTTTAGAAGGACCATCAGATGATAGTGGGAAGAATGATTGAAGGGGGGCTAGAATAGAAACTACCTATGGAATATTTGTAAAGTAGTCCATGCAAGATGGATCCCTGAAAAAGAGTTAGGAAGGAAGGGGCCACCTCCCACATCAAGAATAGAGTAGATTAAGGAGAGGTCATTATGAGGTAAAAACAACAGAACTAGGTGACAGGCAGGCTGTAAAGGTATAAGGAATGAAAAAGAACGTAGGTGCATGTCCAAGGCTTGAGCCTGGGAAACCATCCATCCATGTGTGTCCTGCAGTTCCCAATTCTGCTTGTACTGTTCACTTTGGTGGTTTGTTATGTAGCATATTAGTTTAAGTGCAAGATGGTTGACCTTCTTTTGTGTACTTCATAAAGTCTAGTCCAGTGTTGGACAAACAGTAGAACTGCCAGCTTACCTGTGGAGAGAATTAGATATGTGCACATTAAGGTTACATGTGTTTTCTAACTCCTCAGTTTGATTTTCCACTTAAAGGTCATATTTGTTTATGATTGATCTCTTCCCATTCTTGAGTACACACAGTTTCTCTCACTGCTGTACCCTGCCTAGAGTTTAGCATAGTTCTCTATGGTAACGGGAAGCCTTTCAAAGCATCTTGAAATGTGCCAAATACTGTGTCGAGTGCTTTGTGTAAACTGTCTTGTTTTCCCACACAAAGCCCTCATGTTGTACAGTGCTGTCGTGGTCACCTCTGGTGAGTGTGACCCGGGGATAAGGACATCAAGGCTCTGAAGAATTAAGTGACTGGCCCAGTGTCATACCAAGTTCTTACCTGACTGAGTCCATGGTCTGTATCATTGCCTGTGCCCCTTTAATAAGAAGAGCACCACAGAAGGTACTTGCTGATGATTGGTTGAAATTGGGTAGGTCATATTGAAAGCCATCTAATAAATTAAGCTAGCTTGCCCTGCAGTGCTATTTCTTTATATTGAAACCTAGAACTTGTGATCTTCCTGCTTCAGCCTCCCTAGTGCTGGGATTGCAGGTGTGAGCTATCACATCCAACATACGTGAAAGAAGATTGTGATCCTTGAACTACCTGAGTATTTTTTGGAGAAATTTTATGAATATTATACAGAATTTACTACTCATTCATCATTACTTTTTAAATGTGTGTCTGTGTACACACACTCATGTGGAGTACAGAGGACTGCTTTCAGGAGTCCATTTTTCCTTCCACTCTGGATTCTGGGAATTGAACTCAGGTCATCAGACTTGGCAGCAGACAAGTTTACTCTCTGAGGCATTTGGCTGGCCTGGATTTTGAGGTATGTCTCATGTATCTTAGACCAGCCTAGAACTTTGGATCATCCTGTATTTGCCTCAAGTGCCAGGATTATAGGCATACATGTGCCAGGCAAGTTCACTACTTTGAAAGACATTTCTGTCCATTTAATCTTATAGGATTAAAATACTGGATGTTTGCCTTGGAAAAGTAGCAAGTTAAGAGGAGAGTAGGAGTTACCTTCCTATAACTGAAGCATTGTCCTGTTGGAAAAGATTCATCTCAGTGGACTAAATTTGTATGTGAAATTCGTGGTTGAGAGGTAGTTGGCTGCCTGGAAAGGGTGTACAGTGGCCCATCTTGAGGGTCTGAAATAGGAATTGTTGCTCTCTCCTTGTTGTGTGTGATGGATTTTGATCCCAGGTAGAGAGAGGCTGTGAGGACCTGTCGTCCTGTTGGGAGCAGGGGGAGGAAAGTAGACAGCTAATCCAGGGCGGGAAGGGAGGGTCCAGCATGACTCCATTCCACCAGCGCCGCCTGCGTAGTGCACGTTCTCGGCTGGGAACAGTTTGTAAATGGTGTCCTTAAGGATTGCTCCGGAGAGCTGGAGGGATTTTGCAAAGTCACAGAGACAGGGTTGTCCTGCTTTTGTCCTAAGCATCTGGCTGGAGGCATTGGGTGCTACCACAAGGAAAAGCTCCATTGTGGGCCAAATGGGGGTAAAAGCTGCTCTCGGCTGACTTAGTTTTCTCTCTAGGAATTTTCACAACTCTCACTTTTTTACATCGAACTAAACTGCAACAGTAGGATTCAAGCTAATGGTTTCTCCTGTTCTGAATGTTCGGGTTTATTGCCCAGATTCTGTTATCTTTACTAAACAACAACATTTGGTCTAGAAAAAATAGCTAAAATTGACATGCCCTTCTTTCTCATGTGTCTCTCCCTGTGTGAAGAGTGAACCTAGAGCCTAGTACCCTGAGCTCCATTCCCAGCTGGTGGTTTAATGAGAATGGCTTCCAGAGGCTCAGATATTTGAATGTTTGGCCCCCAGGACGTAGAACTGTTTGGGAAAGATTAGGAGGTGTGTCATTGGGGGTAAACCTTGAGTTTTTAAAAGCCCCTCTCCATTCCCAGGTAGCTCTCCTTCTGCCTTGTGCTATGGCTCAAGATGTAAGGTCTCTAGCTACTGCCTTAGGACAATGCCTGTCTGCCTGTCACCGTGCTCCCTGCCCTGATATTCATGGGCTCGCTCTAACCCTCAGGAGCCCTGTACCCCAAATCATAACCTTCTTCTATCAGTTGCCTTGATCATAGTGTTTTTTTTTTTTTTCACAGCAATAGAATAGTAACTGAGACACCGCCCTTAGTTTTTTGAAACAAGGTCTCACTGTGTAGTAGATGTTACCTCTAGCCTATCTTTCTGCCCTTACCTCTGAGTGCTGACATTACAGGTATTGGTCACCATGTCCAGCCATGTCTTTGTTTAAGGTAATGAATTAGGTAAGAATATGATTTTTTTTTTTTTGAGACAGGATGTCATTATATAGCTCAGGCTGACCTTAACTTGCTGTGTATTCCAGGCTCATCTTAAACTCATAATCCTCCTGCCTCAGTCTTCTTGAGTGTTGGGATTACAATCATGTGCCACCACATCTAGTTGAGGGTATGAAAATTAGATGTCAGACTTGGCTTTGACTCTCAACTCTACCATGCTGTGTGGATGCTTTGGACAAATGTCTGAACTCTGGCTTCAGCTTCATCTGTAGAGTATCTTCATAGGTTCTGTTAATGCACATCAAAAGTATATAACACATGGGAAAAGCTTCAGCAATGTTGCTTCTTTAAGACTGTAGGCTTTTTAAATTTGTATTATTTTATGTGTATGGTTGTTTTGCCTACATGTATGTCTGTGTCCCACATATATGCCAAAGAAGCCACAAAAAGATGTCAGATCCCCTGGAACTAATATTACAGACAGTTGTAAACCAAAATGTAGGGACTGGGAATCGAATCTTGAACCTCTGGAAGAGCAGTCAGTGCTCTTAATCACTGAGCCCTTTCTTTAGCCCCAGACTTATTTTCTAATGATATTATTTGGGTTGTCAAAGGTCATTTTGGAATAGACATTGAATTGAGTTTGTGTCTCTAGTAATGCCGTAGATAAACATGTCAGAGTAGATGATTAATTCCATAACTCTTCAGAAAAACAAAAAGCCAGCAACCCAAGGCTAGCACACGCTAGGCAAGTGCTATACACTGAGCTATATCCCCAGCTCCAGAATGTTGACTTTGAGAAAGAATAAGACTTTCCTGTCTTTATTTCCTTCTCCCTGCTTCTCTGAAGAGTTCAGGAAAGAATGAGTGGAAAGGAGGTTTGATATCTTCCACATCAGCATATGCTTAAAGGGCTTGGGTTGTAGGAGTCAAGATCTCCAGTTGCCTGTTTGGTGGTGCACGCCTTTAATCCCAGCACTCTGGAGGCAGAGGCAGGTAAATCTCTGAGTTTGAGGCCAGCCTGGTCTACAGAGCAAGTTCCAGGACAGCCTGTGCTACACAGAGAAACCCTGTCTCGAAAAAGAGAAAAGAAAGCAAGGCCTGAAGTCAGAGTCCTGGTGGCACAGATGTGGCCCCTGCTTCACCGCGAGGAAGGGCAGGGCAGACAGCGGCAGCTGGTTAATAGCGGAGAGTACTGAGCTGAAGGTTAGACCAGCGGGCTCCTGTGGTCTCACTCCCTCACCTGTGTCTTGTGTACCTAGGTCTGTCACCTCCCTGCTGTGCAGACTGGACTTGACTCAGACTCTGAGTCCCTGGGATTCTCCATTAGAATCTGCTGTGGAAGCAAGAACAGGTAAATCAAGAGAGTGTCTGTCATGCTCTTGAAATAGCTGCTGAAAGAAGGTGCAGTGGCAGATGCCACCGCTAGAGGGCAGGAGACAGCTGAGAACAAGTGGCGGCCAGAGGCCCATTGGTCTAGAGTGGCGGGACAGGGATACCTTCAGTGTGACATACTGTGGAACACCGTGTCAGAAGAGTGATTCCAGAACCTCTCGCTGACTGGAAAACATGTTCACTGATAAGCCAGGATAGCCTCGACCTGGAAGGCTTTCTCATGTGCAAGGAGTACAGACGTGTACTACTGCACCCGGTACATGAGGTGCTGGGGATTGAGCCCAGGGCTTCCTGCATGATAGGCAGGCACCGTACCAACTGAACTGCATCCCCAGCCCTTCTTTTCAGAATGTTAGTTGTAGTTCTTCAAAAAGTTACAGATTTTTTTTTCCCCTATAGACTAGTCCATTATGGATGGAGGGGATGATGGTAACCTTGTCATCAAAAAGAGGTTTGTGTCCGAGGCAGAACTAGATGAGCGGCGCAAAAGGAGGCAAGAAGAGTGGGAGAAAGTCCGAAAACCCGAAGATCCGCAAGGTATATAGACACTCAGTTATTCACTCTTTTTTCCTCATGATTTGTTTGTTTGTTTTTATGTGCATTGGTGTTGTACCTGCATGTATATCAGTTTGAAGGTGTTGAGTCCCCTGGAACTGGAGTCAGCAGTTGTGAGCTGCCATGTGGGTGCTAGGAACTGAACCCGGGTCCTCTGGAAAACCAGCCAGTGCTCTTAACCTCTGAACCAACTCTCTAGCCCCTCATTTAACTCTTTAGCCAAGAAGGTGCTAATGTCTTTGCTAGAGTTTAAGAACTGGGCTCACAGGGTGCAGCAGCCTATCTGAAGTCTCCATAGCAGAACCAGAGTACTCCATATTTGCTCTCTTCTCTCCACCACAGTGCCTCCTTCCAGGAGATTCTGCTCGTCTCTTCCATTGTTCCAGGGGGAGGCACAGTTTGAACTGAGGTTTGGACTGGCTGCTCATCCAGTCAGCAATGTGACATTAATAGTTGTCTTTGAAAACCACCTGCCCCTTTCTGACTGAGATACAAAGGAAAATATAGACTTTATGCTATTTTTGATATTTTCACCCTCAGACCATATAGAGACTTAACTATTTATCCAACTCTTTGTGATTCCAAAATAATATGAAACAACCTAAATTCTGTGTCTGCTTTATCCCGTCTTCCTTTCAGAATGTCCAGAGGAGGCTTATGACCCCCGGTCTCTGTATGAGCGGCTACAGGAACAGAAAGACAGGAAGCAGCAGGAGTATGAGGAGCAGTTCAAATTCAGTAAGCCTCGGAAATCACATTTGAGAGAGTCACTGGGCCTGTGATGGTCTCTGGCCTCATGGAACTGTCTTCATTACTAGCAATAGAATTATCTTAATTGTCCAGCCTCCAGAAGCTAGTCCGGTGGAAAAAAGACAGTCTAAGCCTCACTGGACATTTTTACTTAGAGCTTAAGATACCATTTGAATTCTGTGCTAATATCTAGTAATGGGAGAAATGCTTTGACCTTATGCTATTTATAAAAAAGCCATGGTGTTTAACAATTCTTTCTTTTAATTGCCCGAAGAATCTGCTGCTTATTTAAAAAGGAGAAAGGCTAGCAGTATGGCTCAGTGGGTACAGTACAAGCTGACAACGTGTGTTGATCCCTGGATCCCAGTTGAAGGAGAGAATTGACTCCCGAGGGCTGTCCCTGGCCTTCATGTGTGTGCCGTGGCACGTGTGACACACGCACCATGATTTTTTTTTTCATGTAGGAAAGGAAAAGTCAAAGAAGACTACATTTTTCTCTTAGTCTTCTCAGTATCCTTTGTTCAATTATTTCTTCAGAAAACATGGTAAGAGGTTTAGATGAAGATGAGACCAACTTCCTTGATGAGGTTTCTCGGCAGCAGGAACTGATAGAGAAGCAGCGACGAGAAGAAGAACTGGAGGAGCTGAAGGAGTACAGAATATCCTTTGTACTTGGAGGAAAAACTCGCTTTTCTCACGGACAGACGGTGCCCTTGTACCTAGTCCTCCCAGTGTGTCCGCTCTGATGTCCCTGTGACTCTGAATGACTGACTGCCTGGGACCGTGGGCTATGCTGCATGTGCATGTCTGTTGTAAGCCAAGTCCATGTTTTCCAGGATTCCCAGGTGCACATACATTCTCATAGTCTGCAGCAGGATGTTCTTGCCTCGTAGGATTAGACTTAGACTTAGACGGATGCGCAGTGTAGCCAACCTCACTGGGGAGAAATTGGCTCCTGAGATTTTTTTTTTTTAAGAGTAGTTTTTTTTTTTTTTTTTTTAAGATTTATTTATTTATTATGTATACAGTATTCTTCCTGCATGTGTCCCTGCATATCTCATTACAGATGGTTGTGAGCCACCATGTGGTTGCTGGGAATTGAACTCAGGACCTCTGGAAGAGCAGTTGGTGCTCTTAACCACTGAGCCATCTCCCAAGCCCCAGCTCCTGAGATTTAAAAGGGCATGTTTATGATCTTTTATATGCATGTGTGTGCACAGTACATGCCTACTGAAGTCAAAGACGATTACCTCCAGTGTCCTGCTCTTTCACTTCCTGCTTTATTCCCTTGAGATGGGATCCCTCACTGAACCTGAGTCCTGCTGCACTAGCTAAGCTGGCTGGCCAGTAAGCACCTAGGTCTGCCTGTCTACACCATGTCTGCATTTTACACAAGTGCTGCGGATTTGAACTTGGGTCCTCGTGCTTGCCAGACAGTGATTTTACTCATTAAGCCATCTCCACAGATCTAAAAACACATGTTTAGAAGCATTCCTGTTTCTCTTGTTTTTCGCAAGAGTAGACAGTCCTCCCATACCCTGAGAACTTCCTGCAGCAGGCTCAGGGAACAATGAAGGTCATTTTACTTTGACTTGATATTGCCTTGTGGGAAGCTCTACTTGTCTTAACTTTTCCTTCTTTTCCTGAGATGGTCTCACTGCATAGTCTAGGTTGGCCTCAAATTTGTGATCCTTCTGCGCCTTGAGTGCTGGAATTACAGAGGTATACCACATGCCTTTGAATGTCTTAACATGCACCTCCAAATGTAACTTAGCTGATGAAGAGCTCCCAGTTCTTGCCACGGTAGAGTCTTTTTCCTGATCTTCCTGGTCTCCTCTACTCTGCCTCAGCCAAACGACTTAACTGGCTTAGAACTCCCTTTGTAGACCAGGCTAGCCTTGAACTCACAGAGATCTGCCTTGCCTCCTGAGTGCTGGGACTGAAGACATGCACCGCCATGCCTGGCTTGTATCTGCCTTCTTTAATCAGACCCTACAAGACTCAACATGACTTGGAGTAGATGACCCGCCCCTGTGCTCTGTAGCCACTCTTCATGTCCACTGTACTCTGGCCTCTGGCCTTTAGGCTCCCATCTCATCAAATGGATTCCATTTCCAGCCCTCAAATTCATGGTCCTCAACCTGACATGTTCTTCCTCGGATTTCCCAAGGCTAGCTAGCATTTCATGGCTTAGGTCTCAGCTCTGCACTCCTTTCCCTAAGCACCTGTATGGTTGCAGCTCTTGATTGCCGTCTGTAATCCCGTTTGGTGGTACTTAGAGTGGCATCCAGGGACTTATACATTCTGAGCACATGTTCTACTACTGAGCTATACCCCAAGCCCCATAATTTTGTTTTAAATAGGGGAAATTTTCATTGGTTTGCTTTGGCACATTTTATCTCTTTACTGCTGGAATGTAAAATAAGTTCTATAACGACCAGAATGACTAATTTTTCCCAGTGCCAGGGTTGTAGTAAATTCTCAATAAGTATATAAATAAATGAGTGAATAACCCATAGGAACTATTGGTGGGTTCTAACCCACCTAACTTTCCCCTCCTTTAAGGAAGCTTACTTGGATAATTTAGGCATGTAGGTTGAGTAAACTCAACTTTTGTTTGAATAGGCTTTATCTGTAAATTGATAATTGATGGTAGGACAGTGTCAATGTGCATCCGTGGCTGGCTTGGAATTCACTATGTAGGCCAGGCTGGCTTCTAACATACAGAGATCCATCTCCTCCGCCTCCCCAGTGCTTAAAGGTGTGTGCCACTATGCCCAATTGATGGTAGGCTTTTATATTTATGCTGGCTAGTGTTTTCCTGCAGAGAGTGTACAGTAGGTCCATTAAAGAGTTACGTGGAAGGAAATGTGGGCAGATGCTCTGGGACTTAATGTCAGTCAGAACTGGGAGTATAGGTACTGGCTGCCAGTCTTGGTTTTCTGTTAGTGGCATTGGGGTATAGTCTGAGGCTGGGAGTTGATGCAAAGTTACCCCTCAGTTTCAACTGTAGATTTAAGATTGACTCTTCTGAACCCCCACCTCTGCCCTGAGGACTCCAGAATACTATTATGAGCTGACACATTTGTGGAGATAGGCAGATCTTTCTGTGTCATGTTTCAGACACCAGGCTTTTCTCTTCTAAGAAAATATATTACATTTTCCACATAAATTGTTTTGTTTTAGATTGGCAGACTAGTAAATAAATGTCCATCAGAGGAACATTCTAGAGGGTAGTGCTATGAATGTAAAATGCCCTTCTGTTTTCAACTTAAAGGAAAGAAAGAACCAGAAACTTTCTGCCTGGTGACACCGTAGTAGAGAATTGGAAAGACTTTGGGGTGTTGGCTTTAGTTGGAAACTGGGAGAGTTCTGATATGATGTCTTGCAAAACTGAAGAAAAGCAGGCCCTTTACCTGCAGATACATAATACCGATTCCAAACACCCAAGTAGCCAGATATGTAGAGACAGGAATTATATGTTTGTTTAAGAGTACTCGAGATCAGATGCTGACTCCTGGCTTTGCTCTAACGTGTATTTTATAACACAACACTTGTGAACACAAGTGAGCTATGATTTGTGTCATGTGAACAGTAGTGCTTCCGTTGATCCCACTCAAGATTATGCTAGTCTTTAGCAAAATTATGCATATCCAAAATTGTATAATTAAAAATGCCTTACCTAGGGGGTGGTGAGATGGCTCAGTTGTTGACTTGCTCTAGCAGAGAACCCAAGTTCAGTTCACAGCTCCCATGTGATAGCTCACAATCATCTATTTCCAGTCCCAGGGATCTGACGCCCTCTTGTGGCCCCCACAGATGCTGCACACCTGTGGCACACATACATATAGGCAGACAAACACACATACACATTAAATAAAAATAAACTTTAAAAAAAAAAGCCTTACCTGGGCCTGGGAAAGTGGCTCAGTGGGTGGTGTACGAGGTGCTGTCTGTACAGGCATGAAGGCTAGAGTTCTACTCCCCAACACCCATGTGGAAAAAAACAGGTATGATTGCCTTGGGAGAATGAGACCAGAGAAAACCTGGCTTCCTGGCCAGCCAATCTGGCTGAAACTAGCTTTGGAATGAAACAGCATTCACTGAGAGACCCTATCTCAAAGGAATAAGGTGGAAAACCATAGAGGAAAGATACCTGATGTTCTCTCCTGTGATCTCCACATGTAGGTCCATCCCCCACCCCCACCCCCCCACACAGAGTGCCTCATCTAATAGCCTGAAAATTTGGGATGTGTTTGTTTGAAAGGGAAAAAAGTATACGGAGAAAAAATCCTGTGCTGTGAATGTGAATAAAAACATATTACTACCCTCTCCCTGTAAAGGTTGGAGCTTCTCTTTAACTTCTGAGAACATTTATTAGTTGAAGGATGGAGCATGCATGTGGGGGTAGGTCAAAGACAGCTGTGGGAGTCTCTTCCCTCCCTCCACCATGTGGGGCCCAGGGATCAGACTCAGGTTGTCAGGCTCGGCGGCGGCGGCGGCGGCGGCTGCGGCGGGTGCCTTTACCTGCCGATCCGTCCTGATGGCCAGAGAAAACTCTGCTTTAAAAAAATGAAAAGTAGGCCAGGCAGTGGTGGTGTACATCTTTAATCCCAGCACTCAGGAGGCAGAGGCAGGCGGATCTCTGAGTTCAAGGCCAGCCTGGTCTACAGAGTGAGATCCAGGACAGTCAGGACTACACAGAGAAACCCTGTCTCATAAAACCGAAAAAAAGAAAAGTTAAATATTTTTTAAATCTGTGTCTAGTTATTATAAATACATGTATGTTTTGATGTGCTTATTTTTTTCACATTTTGGTACTAATATTTTGTTCTCTTTCTATCTTCCTTCCTTCCTTCCTTCCTTCCTTCCTTCCTTCCTTCCTTCCTTCCTTCTTTCCTTCCTTTCTTTTTTTTATAGCTTCTATGCCTTAGTGACAGAGTTATAGAACCACAAGGTGCTAATGATTTTGACATTTTTTTCCTAGGAAAATTGTTTCTTTCGTAAAAATGAAAAGTCATAAAAATGAACATTTAGGTCTGACAAGATGGGCTTAGTGCAGCCTGATGGCCTGAGTTTGATTCCTGAGATCCATATGGTAGAAAGAGAACTGACTCCTGAAAGTTACCTTCTGACCTCTATACACTTGCCTGGAAATGTGCATCGTGTGTGGGCAGGGGTAAGGGGCGGGGTGCGTGTGCACACACTTAAGCATAATTTTAAGAAAATGAAGATTGAGGGCTAGCAAGATGGCTCAGTTGGTAAAGACATTTGCCACCTAGTCTGATGACCTATGTCTGGTGCCTGGTTCTCTCCATTTTTCAAAGGCTGCTGCTTAGATTTCTTGGGCACTAGATGTCACTGTTGTCCAGTAAGGCGCTACTGCATCCTAACAGCCTGTACTCCTCAGAGTCTACCTGCTCAGTAAGTTGTGAAGGGGAGCATAGAATGGAAGGAGCGAGTTGCCAGTGGAGAGGCCAACAGGGTGACAGACCTTGTGAGCTGGCAGTGAACGTGATGGGACAAGTGTTCAGCACAGGGCGTTTCTCCCTTTTTGTGGTACCGAGGAGTGAACCCAGGACCTTACAGCTGCTAGGCAATCTCTCCACCACTAAACAACATTCCCAGCCTTTTGTCTACTTCTTAGTGTGAGGCAGGATCTTTCTAACTCGCCCAGGCTGCCTTGATGAGTCTGTAACCCGGGGTAGAGCTTAACTCTAAGATCCTCCTGCCTTACCCTCTCAAATAGCTGGAATATAGGCCTGCATCATCGGGGCCTGCCTGCCTGCCTCTCTCCGTGTGTGTGTGTGTGTGTGTGTGTGTGTGTGTGTGTGTGTGTGTGTGTGTGTGTGTAAGTTAGAGGACAACTTGTAGGAGTCTATTCTCCCTTCTACCATGTGACTCTAGGGATTGAACTCGAGCCTTGTGCCAAGTGCCTTTACTCCCTGAGTCATCTTGCCAGCCACAAAACAGAGATCTTTAGGAATATAAAGGGAATTGAAAAATTATATATGACTTCCGTAGAAATAAGTCTCACCTCCCAAGGGCGAGATTGAGTTCTGCAGACTGTCTCCTGACTGCTGCTGACATTCATTGGTGAACCGTGAGGACCAGCTTGTCCTGCTGGTACAGCACCTCAGAGCACTTCCAGTAAGAAGATTTTAAATGAGATGTGTGCAGACGTAACACAGCATAAGCAGGGCTGGGCACATTCAGGAGTTTGAGGCAGGAGGTTTCTTAATGAAACAAATCTCAGAAACAAATCCTGAGGTTGTCCTGGCCTCCACATGCATACAAGTGACCCAGACACGCCTGCATTCACACACACACACACACACACACACACACACACACACACACACACACACACACACGATCGGCTGTTTAGGCCTATATCCCAACCACTTGGGAAGCCAGGGCAGGGGGGTCTCGTTAATTCTGCCAAGGGGCTTTCGGGTTATATTTGTTGTCCTCTGGATTTACCTTTGCTTTGTAGTATTTCTTCCTTTGCTTAATCTGACCCTTAACCTGTAACTCACAGTAATCTCAACAAGGTTGGAATTTCTGCAGAAAATAAGGAAGTAGAGAAGAAGCTGGCTGTGAAACCCATAGAAGCCAAGAACAAGTTCTCTCAGGCAAAGCTGTTGGCAGGAGCTGTGAAGCACAAGAGGTCAGCCAGTGTGCACACGTGTAAATCTCCCTCTGGCCACACACTCCGAAATGCCACTTGTAATGGTGCCCAGTTCAAATGGTTATTCAGCATGTTGCTGTGACAGTGTTGTTAGTGTGCTTGCCTTTCTCTCCCCTGCCAGATTTAGTGTCCGTGTAGCCTTTGACCTGAGACTGACTGGATCACTCATTCGTATAGCTGACTTCTAGCTCTTCTTCACTGAGCACCTGCTGTGTGTCAGATTTCCTCAAATGAGTTCACAAATTCCTCTCACCCGTTCACAGAGCATCCTTTATTACGACCCCTGTTTTACAGACAGAAAGACAACGTGGCTGATGAAGAACTCTGTCCAAGGCCATACAGTCATAAAGCAAGAGTTCAGTGTTTGCGTTTTTGTGTCTCTAGGCAGATGAGGCAGCAGGTGCTTGAGGATTGTTGTTGGTGAGCGGTGACAGCCTGGAGGAGGAGCACAGCTCAGCTCAGAAGTTGGAGAGGGGCTGATGGGGTGGGGCACCAGGGCTGACAGGCGGCAAGGGAGAAAACCGCGAGAACAGCCGCTACGAAGGCAGGCACTGAGAATACGGCAGCTGAGCCAGGGTTACAGACCTGGCTCCAGCTCCTGGTGACTGATGCGGGGGTAGAAGCACTACCATAGACTCTGATAAGTTCTTTGTCATGTTTGCTCTTCCCTTTTCACATCCTGAGATGGCACCAGAGTGATTGAATCAGCCTGACCGACCAGACCGTGGGCGAAATGATGTTAAGTGCAGTCTATTAGGAAAATCAATATGGTGTATTGGCAACCAGCCACATGTTTTGAATAGAGTGTATTGATGCAGTCTTGCGGTTTGGCACAACATCTATCTGCTGCAGATGTTCCTAGGAACACTGAGCACATGTAAAAATGTCATCATGGTACAGCGGCACAGGGAGGACCAGTGGTCTGAGGAGGAACCTTAAAGACGCATGAATCTTTAACACCCTGTGTAAGCTTCTCAAAGTTCATTGGCTCTCAGGAATCAGACCTGGGCCAGTTTGATGAGCTCTCCAGGTGGGCACTTACCTCTTGGGTACTCTTGCTGCTGCCAAGTGGGTATTTCAACTGTCTCCCTTGATTAGTCTTTATATCATATTTAGGAAGGGTTCTGTTAGCTTATTTGTTGATCTGTATAGAGGCTCTCTTGGGTTTTCAGAGTACATCATTTAATGTTGCTTTTGTAGCAAGGTGACACGTTAGCCTCTTGGGGCAGGAGTTTCTGATCTCCCCTGCCCTAGTTCATTCAAAATAACCTGAGAGTTTGTCAATACTGTGGACTCCTGGGCTTCACTGATACAGTAAATTTAAAGTGTGGGAGTCTTCATTGTTGAAGTTGCATGGACAATTCAGATCCCCGGTGGAAATCTGGAAGCCCCCAGGGTGTGTGTGAAGCATCCAAACAAACAACCTGTTTCATATCTTTGCTTTTTTCAAGTTCATTCTTGTGTCTGTTGTTTTAAACTCCTGTGGGATCCCTGCGCTCATTCACTTCAGTCTTCAATTAGAGGTGCTCACCGCTGTTTACTTCTTCCAGCTCTCATCAAGTACAGTTTTATATTGCCTACTATGTATTTAAAGTTACCACTGTGGTTTCTTCTTTGTCTCAGAAATATTGAAATATATTTTAAATTTTCAATATCGAGGTAACTTCTCCATACTTCACTTGGTTCTAATATACCTCCCCCGACACACACACATTACTAACACCTTATAATCATAGTATCTTAGAGGCTATGAAATTCAGTATTTATTTTTCCCTTACTAATTTCTAACTTAATTGTGTTGTGGTATTGTGGTTTATATATCACAGTTTTGTGTTGTTTTGTGTTGTTTTTTAAAGACAGAGTCTCACTGTGTAGCCCTGGCTGGGCCTAGAACTTGTGGCATACACCAGGCTGCTCTCTATCCTTGCCTCTCCCTCCCAAGTGCTAGTGTTACAGGTGGGCTCCACCATGCCTTGCCATCCTGGTTTTTTGGTAGGGTTTTAGACTCTGTCACTTGTTCCTAGAGTTAATGTTCTAGGTGATTTTGAGGAAAATCTTTCTGTCTCTGTCTGTCTGTCTCTCTTACACTCCCTGCCATGATGATAATGAACTAAACCTTTGAAACTATAAGCAAGGCCTGAATTAAATGAGAGTCGCTTTAGTCCTGGTGTCTTCACAGCAACAGAACAGTGATAAGACACCAGGGTTTGTTTAATTCCAGATGGAGTCAGGTGAAGACCAGCCGTCAGTACCGAGCCGTCAGTACTGAGCCGTCAGTACCGAGCGCTCCTCGCTCTGCTGTTGCCTCCATCTCCTTTGATCCGTGCTCCCACTTTGAATCTTTCTGGGTATTGAGTTTTTTTTTTTGGGGGGGGGGGTTTCTTTTGTTAAGTTTTTTAGGTAAGTGCCTTTAAATGATTGTTGTAAAATGTATTCAGTCAGGCTGGAGAGATGGCTCAGAGGTTAAGAACACTGGCTGCTCTTCCAGA